GCCGGGGCCGGGGCCGCTCCCTCACCCACCTGCCCGCCGATAGTAACATCGAAAAAGACCACGGGGTTGTTGGGGTTGGATGCCAGCACCGCCATTGCGGTCGCCTCTCCCGGAAGCGGAAGTGGCAGCGGAAGCGGAAGCGAGGGGGGCCGAGGCCCCCTGGGAGCCGGCCGAGACGGGCGGCGCAGGCGCAGGGCGGGCGCTGAGGGGAGCCGGTGGGTCGGGAGCGTTTTGCGAGTGGGCCCGGCCGTCCCTGGAGTCAGCCCCGCCACGGTCACTGACCTGTGACGCCAGACCGCGCCGGGAGGGCGTCAGAGACGCGCCAGAGGGGTTTAGGACATCGGCGTTCTCGTGGCCGTCCTTTGTCCCTCACGGACAGCTCCGGGCTTCCCGCAAGCAAATTCCTTATTTCCAGGGCCCTCCCGTCCGAGATGGTTCCCCTTCCCCGGCAGGGCTGTGCTTCAGCAGCGCGCGGGGGCCGGTTTTCAAGCAGGCCCCCTCCTTCGTTTGTGCAGACGTGTCGCAGTGCAGAGGGTAGATAGGAAATCTCCGACACCCGATTTGAGATTTTCAAGGGCTCTGGCAAGTGGCACCCGAGGAGAAGGTGTTGATGCCGTTGCGTTAAAGGGTAAAGAAGTTTGGCAGAAAATAAACCCCCTTGGATTCCAGCTTATCCTCAGGTGTCAGAGGGGCTGGGGGCAGCTAGGTTTAACTTCTGAGTGATGTCCAATTCAACGCTATAAGTCCGGTCGCGTTCAATACACTGAACTATCAACGATGATGGATGCACTTAATAGCGTACTGAACTCTCGGCTTAGCCACACAAGAATTACCAGACTTAGGGAGTTTAGTTGCATTAAAGAACTATCACGACTAGATTAATGAGCAGCGCAGTTTATTAAAGCAACAGTACAAATTCTTTTGGATTGCTGGTGATAAATACACTGTCTGCAAAGCACGTGCAAATAATAATACAGTCGACTACAAGCACGCTAAATTACAGGAAAACTCTATACGGGGAAGCACTCGGTACAACCAAGGGCTCGAATCTTACCCAACAGGTGTCCCTATGGGGGGGGAAGAGAGGTTCAGCCCGTCAACTGATCCCAGAAGTCAGCGATGTCCTCCTGACTTGTCTATGATGGTGTCTTCCCTAACGTTCCTCCTTTCTTAAGCCCTTTTATATTTTCTTACTTTTTAGGTGGAGCTTGAGTGACTCTAGTTAGACATACCTTTCACTTTGATTTGTATAAAGTTCTCTCACTTTACTTTTAAAGGTATATGCTAGAGAAAATCCAGAGTACATGCTCAGTGAGGGGTGGTTACACCTCAGAGGCGGGTAGGTTTTGAGATGGAGGTGTGTTTTGGTATTATAATGAGATTATAATGAGCAAAGTTCATCCAGAGAACATGATTTAGTGTGTCACTACTCCAGAACTGGGCACTTATGATATAAACCAGAAGTAAGGCCATAGCGTTGACAGAACCCCCACTGTTTCACCTCCTTGCTTCAGTGGATTCAATGCAGGGACCTTCCATTCTTGTTCCAGTAGTTCCAGTTCCCTAGCCCCGTAGTGATGTCACAGAGCCTGGCCGTGGTGTCTCCACTCTGCTCCACCCTCCGTGTTGTTTCTCTTAGAGTCAGCACACCAAGCTCCCCTGGTGCTGCTAACACCTAAGGTTGCAGGTTATGTTGCTTAGGGCATTATTATGGAACAGATCTCTTGCACATCCACTGCATTCCACCCTGGAGGTTTACCTTCCCTTAAGTGGGGGGACATATCAGTAAGTCACCGCCAGCAATCATTCCACAGACACGCATCAAGGTGACCATGAAAGTCGTGTGGCCCTTGACTGAAGGCAAGGACTTTGAATTTTTAGTCAAGAACATCACCATCCTGGTGTGCTGAGGAAGGAGAGTGGTCCTGAGGTTCTTTGAGGAGCTGCTCCTAGATGTGGATAAGATGGGGATCCTGGCTAATGCTTTTCTCCATGTACGTCTGGCACATTTTCAGTGCTCCCTCTAACTTCTTTGCAGGCGGGTCAAAGCCATGGCCTTGGGCAGGTTTTCCTTGGTACTTGTGGCTGGGCCTGCCCTTCTCCTTCCAGAAAGCCATGCCTGAGGGCCGAGCTTGTCATGGGTATCCAGAAAGGTGCAAGGGTGGGTCCAGACTCACCAGAAAGGCACATCCAGGGGTCTGGAGATGCCCTGAAACACATACCCTGTGAGAATAGGACACCCTGAAGTACACATCAGGCTGTTTGGGGTGCCCCGAAAGGCACACCCAGGGGTCTGGGGTAGCCAAAAGCACAGCGAGGGCTCTGAGGATGCAGTAAAACACACAAAGTGAAGTTCATGCAATGCTGACGTGCACACTGTGGGCACGAGCCAGAAGACACATCCACGGGTCTGCGACACAGAAAATCACATCAAGAGATGCTGTTCCCCCTGAAAGGCACACCTAGCCAGAGTCCAAACATTTTCTTTTTTCCCCCATGTAATACAATATGACCCTTTTCATCGTGGCTTTTCCATCCCACATCCCTTTCTGGCATCTGGTCAGCATGATGTGGGCACCTTCAAGACAGCGTCCTTCTCAAAAGGCTACACCTTGGGCTCTCCCATCACGCAGGCCTGTTTTTGTTTCTCCTTACTGACCCTGAAGGAACGAAACTAATCAGGCCTGTCTGGAGGATGCTGTAGTTGGTTTTCTTTTAACGGTTTCCTGTAGCCATCTCCTCTCCCTGCGTGTATGGTGGAAAAGAGGAGCTTAATTTCTGCTGCTGTTATCCTCCTAACTTGGCCTAGACACACTTGAAAGGGCAGAGGGGACAGAACAGGAGCCCGTGAGGCAAAAATAATCTATTCAGCTGCCGTTACGACGGTGCCTCTTCAGTTTGAGTTTACACTGGGAGGAGGGGAAGAGCCCAGAGTCCCCGCTGCCTTCTAGGAAAGCTCCCACACAGATTGCTTGGAAGCCTGAGGAGCAGTCCATTTGGATGCCTCAGAAGTCTACGTTCCTAAGTGCAACAGGGTACTGTCACGCTTGGGAAACAACTTTGTGCCAATATGCACAACAGTTGTTCTTGCATGCTCCTGCATTTGTCGCAGGGCTAACGAGGAGCTAGCAGAAGCCAGTGCTAAGAGCCCTCAGCAGCAGCGGCACACACTCTTCAGACACAAGGCAAAGAGTCTGAGCCAGACCAGGGGACAGAGCGGAAACCCATCAGGCTCAGGTAAGCAGCGGCAGGCTGGATTCTCCAATGGTCAGGTGGGTTAGGGCTTACGGGTGGGTTTTGCCTGTGATACTGAAATAGCAGAAGTCTTTCAGAAAGCTAGTTGCCTGACAGTCAAACGTGGAAAATCTTGCTTCTTCCTTTGCCTGTGTCCCTTTCATCCATTGTTTCCTCTGGCAGGCTTAAATATCTCCAGATCTTTACAGCGTCCTGTCGCAGTAGAGAGTTGTCCATGGACTTCCTGGGATAGGTCTGCTGTAGAACTAACATTTGATCTTACTTTTTCTCTCCCAGTCACTGGGTAACAGGAAACCAGATCTGCTGGGGATTCTCCCCGGGCACCTCCTGCTCTACCGCCAAACGTAAATGAGGTCCAGGATCCCCCTTCCAGGGCAACACAGCCTCAGCGCAATGCTCTACGGAACAGTTATTAAGCTGGTAGAAAACACTTCTGAGAGTTTGTTCAAATTCTTTGTCTACCACGATCCTCCCGTGTTTTCCCATCACTGTCCCTCAGCCGTCCACAGGGCCTGGGCATGGCCGTCCCCTCTGCCCGCAGCCTGCTGCGGGGCTGGGGGTGTCTGGGCCAGGCCCAGTCCCAGTCCTGGGGTGGGGTGGGGGTCCCTGGGGGCTCTCCCCCAGGGGCCAGGGGTGTTTGGGGGAGGCAAGGGCTTGAGAGGCATGCTCGCTTTCAAAAAAACCAAGCATCTTTTCCCTGGGTTGCAATACAAACTGAGTGGATTACAGCTACACTCTCGAGCCATACATTTGATTTTCACAAAGACTTTATAATGACAGAAAAGCATCTGCCATTGAGCATTTTAATGGCATGCTCTGAACAGAGATGTGGAGGTATTGCACAGCACACAACACTTTTTGCTACGTTATTTTCTGTCAGAGTTCTTAAAGAGCAATAACCAGAGTTTCCACAGCACTACTGGAGCCAGGCCTGCAGATGTGAACGCTTCAAACTTATTAAGGGTTTAGAAAAGTGTATATGATGATGTTTTTAAAGACTGTGCACCTCTGCTCAAAAAGGGAGACTCTGTCAGATTGTCCAGAATGAAAGAGAGATTTGAGAAAGGTTATCAACAAATGTTCACAAACAAAATGTTCATAGTAGCTGAAATTGTGAGAAGAGGATGGATATCTGTGTATTGCTTAATGATCACGAAGCAACTGAGGGGCTGTTTCATCCTGAAGAACTTCAGAAAGTGAACCCTGACACGGGCAGACTCTACAAAAGGGACATCATTGCTCCAACAGGGAAAGGAAGAAACAAACAGGGCTGGCCACAGGAATTTAACAGTTGGGTAGAAGCCACCCAAGTCCAGGCTTTGCAGTGGAGCAGGGGAGAAAAGAGTCATAGACATTGAGCTGTTGACCATTACTCTCTGGATGCAACCATTCAGCCAATTCCTTATCCAAAAGAAGGGTGCCAGGTGTGGCTTTCTACATCACGCTACCCAGCAATGCCAGAACCTTTCCACAAAAAAAAAAAAAAAAAATTAAAATGCTTGAACTTGACTACACTTGACTAGGGGAGGCCCCTGGATCTCTCCGGTAGTAAGAGGTGGAGCTGGTGGAAAAACAGGACCCACAGTGCTGGAATGGCATCAGCAAAGACACCATGTCTGAAATAACACTGCAGAGAAAGACAGGGCAGTCTGCTTTGCAGAAAGGCTATTATCTGTCCCTCTCCACGTTGATGGAATGTATGAATCATCTTCTTAACCCCCACAACAGTGCTGCAGCTGTCAACTTTCCAGCTGTGGCAAGGAAAACAGAGCTCGAAAACGTTGAAAGGCCTTATGCTTTTTCTATGACTGGGGATCTGGCACATATTTTGTGGGGTTCTCTGGAGGGTTTAACTGTGCCTCTA